TAACATGGAACCATATTCACATTCTCCAAATGCCCATTACTGCCTTTTTTATCACCTTTGAATCCAGGAGTTAGTCCAGGATTACATGTTGTTCTGTCTCTTTGGTCTCCTTTAACCAGAAGCAGTCCGCAGCCCTTTTTTTTTTTTTCTCTCTTTCATGCCGCAGACCATTTTGAAGAGTCCAAGCCCATTGTTGTGTGAAATGGACCCCTCTTTGGATTCTTCCTCTTGTTTCCTCATAGCCTCGGTTACCCATTCCTGCAGGCTGGGGTGGTGCTGATGCTCCTACTCCTCCATAACACTTCTACAGGCTGGCCACAGTCCGTAGTGCTTAGTTTGATCTCTTATTAAGGGGGCGCCTGTCAGATTTCTTCACAGAACAGATTTCTTCACAGACCTTTCCCTTCCTTTTCTTACTCTTTAGCCTATGTATTCCTTAATTTCATGCCAGCTTGTTTGTGTAGGTAAGAGTTTTTAAACACTGTCTTCTATAGCACCCTCTAGATGTTCAGTTCAGCCCAGTCTTTTTAGTAGTTTCAGCAGGAGGAGTGTCTGTAGGCCTGACCACCTCATTGCTGGAATCCAGTCTGGAAGCCTGGAACCCATCCTCCCAGTGTAACCATCTCCCATACTACTTCCCTCCCCATCACTATGGATGTCACTGTCTACGCCACTGGGCAGGTACGACACAAGTCCCTCAGTGACTGCCCCAGCCTCGTATCTTGACCATCCCAACCCAACAGTGACTACCAGGCTACTGGTAGTGCACAAATTCATTATTTAGTCACTCAGAGCATACTTGCTTTGAGTGCTGAGCTAGCCCTTCTCCTCCCTTACAGCTAACGGCCACAGGGATACAGCCATCAAAAGAAGCAAAGGTAGCCCTGGCCAGTGTGGCTCAGTTGGTTGCAGTGCAGAGTCTAGTCCTAGTCATGGCACATGCCTAGGCAGCGGATTTAGTCCCCAGTTGGGGTGCATACGAGGAGCAACCAATTGATGTTTCACTCACATCGATGTTTCTCTCCCTCCCTTCCCCACCCTCCCTCAAATTAATGAGTGTGTCCTTGGGTGAGAATTTTTTTCAAAAAGCCACCAAGGTAGCACAGTATCTGAGTTGTGATTGTCACCTGGCACATCATTGTTAAGCACTGTTCGTGTGCCTGGCACTGGGTGTTGAGTGGGGAGACAGCAGTAAAGAAGGCACACACCATCTGAGGGGGCTGCCCATCATGGCGGGATATTCGAAGTACACTGAGGGGCATAGGGCACTCCTGCTCATGGGAGTGGGGAGGAAGGAGCAGGGAAGGCTTCTCAGAAGTGCCATCTCAACTCAGACAAAAGTGGGAGAGAGGGCCAAGCCAGGGCCTCTGGTCTTCCTCCCAGGAGAAGCATCATAGTGGGAACAGGATGGGGCTGCTGATATTGCTGCCTCTGTCCATCTGGTCTGGTCTGGCCTGGCCTGTGTCCTCCTGACCAGCCAGTGAAACTCCTCATGAGACTTGAAAACCCATCTCAGGACTTCCTGCTCCAAGGAATTCCCATCTCTGGACTTCCCTCTGCCTAGAACAAGGGAGGTGTCACTATTTTTTTGTTACATCTTTGTCCTCCCCGCAACACATACTGAACTGGGCTCTCTAGAAGACCAGAGAATGATGCTAATTTTGCCCTGGCATCCCAGCCCTTAGCAGAGTCTGGCTCAGGGCAAGGGCATCAATGAAAACACGTTGACTCAATTGTGACCTCAGACAAGTTCCCTTGTCTGGTTGTACTTCCTTTTCTTTTCATCTGTGACACTGAAGAATTGAATAGGTGTTCTGGGTGAAAAGAAAAGATCGGTGTTCTCCTCTCCCTGAACTCTGCCCTCCCAGGCTTTGGCAGAGGACCTTAACTAGTCCCTTCTCACCCCAACAGCAGTCCATCAGCTAGCTCTGTTGTTTTACCTTTTGGTCATGTCCCCAATCCTCTGCTACCTCCATCCTAGGCCACACCAGGACCACTGCAAGAGCCTTCTCAGGGATCCTCCCTGCTATGTCCTCTTAGGTCTCCTGCAGTCTGTTTAGAGTGATCCTTTGAAGATAAGAGCTCTTGTCCCTGTCCCCTGCTCAAAGCTTCCCATCACACTTGGAATAAAGCCCAACAAAGCCCTCCACGTCCCTCCTTGAGGCCTCTCTACTGTCTGGAATCTCTCCCCCACACAAAACCATACGACTCCCCTTCATTTCCTTTAAGTCTTACTTTCTTTACTCCCCTAATATCACCATGTGGATTTTTTCTTCATTATGTTCTAATCAGTTCATTCTTTTGAACACTCACCTCGTTGTAGCTTTGCCCAATACAAGGAACCCTTTCAGCCAGCACCTGTGTCCTTTTGACTCTCCCTATTAACTTCTAGGTGCTCCTTCTTTCTGCCTCCACAGGCTGCCCTAGAACTAGAACCACCCACTTCTCCCAGGGGCCAGCCTGGTCCCCTTCCAGGGACACTAGGCATGTTCCCTGCCCCTGGGGTGCCTTCATTGGCCTTAGAATTTGTCCCACCATGGGTGTACAGAGCACTGTGGTCAAAAGTATTGGAAACAGTTTTTTTTCTCTGTGGTACATTATCAATTTGATATACTTATTTATTTGTTTCTGTTTGCATTCAGTGTAATGAGGTTTTATTACCTTTTGTTTTCATTTCATTTCTGGTTATGTAAACTTTTACCTGATTCAGAAGTTGAAATTATGCTCCGGCATACCCAGAGAGGCCTCAGCATTTCCAGTAGTTTCTGCTATGTGCTTCCTAAAGTCCCCATTCTCACACAAAAGGCAGCCTTACAATACACATTTTTTACTTCACAGTAGATCCTGAGGTCACTCCTCAGTGGTTCAGGGTGCTCTCAATGATGCAGGTGTGTTTTTGTCTAGTCAGGCAGGTCCCTGATAGCAGCTATCTAAGTTGTCCTAGGCTAATAAAAACAATGCTGTTGTAAATAACATCCTCTCTTGTTTTGCCTTTCTGGGGGTATCTCTTTAGGGTAGATTTCTAGTTTCTCTAGATGGCATCAACACCCTTGATTGTATCTAAGGGCATTCCTGAATCATATGGCTTGTCCTTGACCTCGTGGTGGTGAAATTATTTGGGGAATACAAATGAAAGTTTTGAAGAAGTCAGACCTGTTCCATTGGTGCAGTGTTTTTCTCTGACTCTGGTTCTGTCAAGGTTCCAGGGAGCAGCCCTGGACTTCAGCAGTGCCCCTGTGGACTGTATGGAAGTGGTGATTCCAGTCTGTCCACCACTTTGCTGCTGGCAGAGCTCCCCTTCTCCCTCCGTGATGGTAGGCCTCGGGCCACACCCAGCTTCCCAGAGTTTTTCTTCATTTCCTGTTGAGAAACTAAGACTGGGAGAATTTAAAAGTAAGCTCTACTAGAACAGGTTAGGGAACCCTGCTTTTAGAGCAGAAAAAGGTCTCCTATGAGCCAAGGGTTCAGTCAGGGTGACCCTGGCAGCCATGCTCGGGGGCCCTAAACTTCTGGATGAAGATCCAGGGAACTCAGGGGTAAGCCTGCGGAGGGCTAGGACACACCCTCACCTTGCTGTCTCCCCACATCTGACCTGAGCTGTTGAGGAAAGCTGTGTCCTCGTGGCGCCAAATGAGTCTTGGTTGCTTATCTGCCTTTGGTGATTCAGCCATGTCATTCGAGTCTGGTTTCGAGTGCACACCACAGTGCCTTTATTGAAGTCTCCACAGTGTGCACAGGAAGAGAAGTCACTTGGGATAGACTGGCCCCAGGACAGTGATCAGTGCGGACATGAGCTGTATAGAACAGGGCGGCTCTAGAGCTGCGATACAGAGGACAGGAATAGTCTTGCCCTTTTCCCAAATAAGCTGCTAACTCTGAGGGACTAGCAGATGGCTAATCCTGAACTCACAGTTCTTTCTAAGTCTCCCCTGGCCCCAGTTGTATTCTTGCCCTCTTAGCCCAGCCATGGGAGCATCATGATCAGACTCTGATCCCAGGGTCCAGGGCCTCCCAGTGAGTATTTCTGAAGTGCCCGAGAGAACCTACCAGATGGAACCAAAGTATAGGGAAGGAACTGCTCTGTCAGTGTGAAAGAATGGGGAAGGTGCCCGCCCTGGAACAGGGAGGGTGTTTCTCTGTCTTCTTGCTCTTCCCTACCAACAGGGCTGTGCTGTTGTAAGGGAGCATCTCCTGATACAGGCTCACCTGACCTGGGATCACTCTTTTCTCTTTTGCCACAATCCTGGGAAGTGGTTTCTTGTTGCCCAAGTTAGCCAACATTTACATAGTGACTTTTCTTCTTCTGGGGTATTAGTTCCCGTTGTTCAGATGAGGAAGCAGGCATAGGATGTTGAGGTCACTTGCTCAGGTTCATGTTTGGAAATGGGAGAATCAGGATTTGGGCTCAAGTTGGCTGGCTCCAAACCTATCTACTCTTTCTACAGTGCTGTCCTGTGTGCCACCTCCCAAGGGGATAGTGCAGGGCTGTGTTCCTGTTAGCAAGTTGTACTGTGCCTGACAGCAGTTCTTTGAGTACACATTTTAAAAACCTAAAATACAGAAGCTATAGTAACACTCAGGCCAGGCCTTTGTGAGGAGGAGCTCCACCCCCATTTTGGGTGGACATCTCCCGCTCCAGTAATTGAGGGCCCCCTGTCAGCCCTCGGATGCAGCTCATAAAGTGGCCTCTGCCAAGGCAGCATGCTGAGAAGCCACACAGTGTTCTACTCAGAAAAAAAATGCCACCTGTGCAGGGTACTCACTCCTGCACACTAGGAATGGGACTTGAGGTGGCCACAGTGCAGGTAGAGTGTAGTTGGCCACCACCAGTAGCATCCCAAAGCCCCCAAAGAAATCTGTGAAGGGAAGGATATCAAGACCTGGGCAGAGCAGCCCTGCTCCCAGAGCCCTGCCTATGCTGGGCAGCCCCGAGCCTGCTGATGCTCACTTTTTCTGCAAACTGATGTGTCCTCTACTTACATACTTGTTTAATACTTCAGGGAAGAAAAGTCAGAAGACCAGGATCTCCAGGGCCTCAAGGACAAACCCCTGAAGTTTAAAAAGGTGAAGAAGGATAAGAAAGAAGACAAGGAGGGCAAGCATGAGCCCCTGCAGCCGTCAGCCCATCACTCTGCTGAGCCAGCAGAAGCAGGCAAAGCAGAGACCTCAGAAGGGTCAGGCGCAGCCCCAGCCGTCCCAGAAGCTTCTGCCTCCCCCAAACAGCGGCGGTCCATCATTCGTGACCGGGGACCCATGTATGATGACCCCACTCTGCCTGAAGGTTGGACCCGGAAGCTTAAGCAAAGGAAATCTGGCCGCTCCGCTGGGAAGTATGATGTGTATTTGATCAAGTAAGTAAGGGCAACTCCTCTATCTGCAGAGCCAGGAGTCCTGGATAGGCGGGAAGGCTGGGACAGGCATTGAAAACTAATGGGGGTCCCTTGGGGTAGGAGCTCTTTGCTGCTGGTTGATCAGGAAAATGTGTGTATGTGTGACCTTCCCTGGGTTCAAGGTGGCTTCAGTAATGAGCACTGCTTGTGGGCATGACCAGATATGCTTAGGACAACTGTGTATGGAAGTCACTGTCCTGAGTGAGATATGCACAGGGTAGCAGAGTGTGACTTTACCCTGCCAGCCCTTGATGCCTCATTTGGAGATGGAATAGCAGTAGGACCTGACTGGTCACAATGAGAATGCCAGGAGAGGTCACTTGGGAAGCACTGAGGCCACAGGGTCTGCCACATGCAGTGGCCTGGGCTCAGGAGGCAAGCGGAGCTCCATGGGGTTCCTGCCATTTCCCAGCTGGAGAACATCCAGCTGAGGGGTTCTTCTCAGAACCTGTTAACCTCATTTTCTTTCTGGGAGACTTGTTCTGTGACACTGCTTGATGAACCAGAAGAATTAGGAGTTCATAGGGCTCAGTCCACTCCATGAATTGTGTTGGGAAGGGTGGGCTCTTGGACAGGGCCTCTGTGGGAAGACACAAATGGGCCCCGTGTGCCTTTTCAACTGTCTTTTTTGCATTTGCCCAACTTCAGCGGGGGGTGGGGGAGGTCCATTGGGTGTTTTCTATTGAAACAGTAACTGCCCAAGCCAGAGCTTCAAAGGAATAAATAAGTGTATTTCAGTTCTGCCCCTTAGACAATCCCAAAAAGGTGAGCAGTTTTCAAAGGACATTTGCAGCCTTGTTTGGTCTCAGTAAGTCTGAGAAGGGTGAGCAAAGTATTATCCTATTGACATATGAGAAAACTGATTACCAGGGATGCCAAACAGCGTGCCCAGATTTCGACAGAGGGTGCTCTACTGGCAGATCAGGCCCAGGCATCAGCCAGCAGAATGGGCCCCAGCCTGATGGCTAGACAGAGTTCCCAGGTCAGACCCCTTTGCGGGGCTAGAAGGGACCTCAGTGGCAGGCAGGTCCTTGGGGCCATCCAGGTAACAGCTGTGGAGCACTAGCACTGAGGTATTCTGGTATAGAAGCAGGCCATGTAGGACACCTGCCACTGCTCGACAACCTGGTTACCTCATGTATTAACTGTGGCCATACCCCTCGACTTTTAGCTTATCTTGGCTTTTCTTAAATGCAACTCTGGTTCAATGGTATCATCAGGCCTATCGGCTGCAGAACACCTTCTGTCAAAGTTCATCACCACCTTCTGCCCTGCCTCATCTCTAACATTGCTGTGGAAGCTTCTAATCATTTCTGTGTCTCTCCATTTGTTTCTACAGTCCCCAGGGAAAAGCCTTTCGATCTAAAGTGGAGTTGATTGCGTACTTCGAAAAGGTAGGCGACACCTCCCTGGACCCTAATGATTTTGACTTCACGGTAACTGGGAGAGGGAGCCCCTCCCGGCGAGAGCAGAAACCACCTAAGAAGCCCAAATCTCCCAAAGCTCCAGGAACTGGCAGAGGTCGGGGACGCCCCAAAGGGAGCGGCACCGCGAGACCCAAGGCGGCAGCATCAGAGGGCGTGCAGGTGAAAAGGGTCCTGGAGAAAAGTCCCGGGAAGCTGCTCGTCAAGATGCCTTTTCAAGCTTCACCAGGGAGCAAGGCCGAAGGGGCTGGGGCCACCACATCAGCCCAAGTCATGGTTATCAAACGCCCCGGCAGGAAGCGAAAAGCCGAGGCCGACCCCCAGGCCATTCCCAAGAAACGGGGCCGAAAGCCAGGCAGTGTGGTGGCGGCTGCTGCCGCTGAGGCCAAGAAGAAAGCCGTGAAGGAGTCATCCATCCGGTCTGTGCAAGAGACCGTGCTCCCCATCAAAAAGCGTAAGACCCGGGAGACAGTCAGCATTGAGGTGAAGGAGGTGGTGAAGCCTCTGCTGGTGTCCACACTCGGCGAAAAGAGTGGGAAGGGACTGAAGACCTGCAAGAGCCCTGGGCGGAAAAGTAAGGAGAGCAGCCCTAAGGGGCGTAGCAGCAGTGCCTCCTCGCCCCCCAAGAAGGAGCATCATCACCACCACCACCACTCAGAGCCCCCGAAGGCACCCACACCGCTGCTCCCGCCCCCGCCCCCACCCCCGCCCGAGCCCCAGAGCTCCGAGGACCCTGCCAGCCCCCCTGAGCCCCAGGACTTGAGCAGCAGCATCTGCAAAGAAGAGAAGATGCCGAGAGGAGGCTCGCTGGAAAGCGACGGCTGCCCCAAGGAGCCAGCTAAGACTCAGCCTACGGTTGCGACCACCACCACGGCCGCAGAAAAGTACAAACACCGAGGGGAGGGAGAGCGCAAAGACATTGTTTCATCCTCCATGCCAAGGCCAAACAGAGAGGAGCCTGTGGACAGCCGGACGCCCGTGACCGAGAGAGTTAGCTGACTTTACACAGAGCGGATTGCAAAGCAAACCAACAAGAATAAAGGCAGCTGTTGTCTCTTCTCCTTATGGGTAGGGCTCTGACAAAGCTTCCCGATTAACTGAAATAAAAAATATTTTTTTTTCTTTCAGTAAACTTAGAGTTTCGTGGCTTCAGGGTGGGAGTAGTTGGAGCATTGGGGATGTTTTTCTTACCGACAAGCACAGTCAGGTTGAAGACCTAACCAGGGCCAGAAGTAGCTTTGCACTTTTCTAAACTAGGCTCCTTCAACAAGGCTTGCTGCAGATACTACTGACCAGACAAGCTGTTGACCAGGCTTCTTAGGGTACGCCTGCACCTCCCCTCCCACCCAGACCTCCCCCCGTGTGGTCATTAAGGACAGAGGGCACTTGAGAGGACACTCCCATTTTCGGTGCCATTGGTGCCCCAGTCTCAGCTCTCCTCTCCCCCGACCCTGCCCCCAGCTTCCCTACCTCCCCCATTCCCACCCACGTTGGGACAAGGAGGTGTGAGGCAGGAGAGACAGTTGGATTCTTTAAAGAAGATGACGGAGATGGCCAGTGGCTACAGCCTGTGTGATCCCACCGTGGTGGCACAAAGCTGGCCCCACTCCAGCCCCAATCCAAAACTAACAAGGACATTTCACAGGACAGGGAAGTAGCACCTGTTCACTCCAGTTCTGGCATGGCTCGGAGGGAGTCGTCCTTTGAACTGCTGGGTGTAGATTGGCCTGAGCCAGAGGAGAGGATGGCCCAGGGCTGGCCTCCAGTGGATGGCACTAGAAAGAGGCCATGAGGCAGCAGGACAAGGTGCAGGCAGGCTGGCCCGGCTCCGGACCAGCAGAGTGTAGTGGGGCAGGAGGGACTCCTAGTCACTCAGAGCAGTCTGTGACTGGCAGTTAGAGGCTCACTGGGGCGGAGGCCAAGGGGAAGGAGGGGAGAATGTTCTTCCAAAACTTTCCAATTCTACTCCTTAGGGACAGCTTAGAACTATTTGCACTATTGAGTCTTCATGTTCCCACTTCAAAACAAACGTGCTCAGAGAGCAAACTGGCTTGAATTGGTGACATTTTGTCCCTCAAGCCACCAGACGTGATGGTGTTTAGAACTGCCTGGATCTGTAGATACCTGCGCTTGTTTTAAAGTGGGCTCAGCACATAGGGTTCCCACGAAGCTCCGAAACTCTAAGTGTTTGCTGCAATTTTATAAGGACTTCCTGATTGCTTTCTCTTCTCTCCTTCCATTTCTGCCTTCTGTCATTTCATTCTTTCATTTCTTCATCTCCTCCTTCCTCTTCATTCATCCCTTCTGTTCCAAGCAGCCACAGTGCCCAACTGTACCCTGAACAGATCCGGTTAGCTCATGTCCCCAGAACTCACCCTGCACTTGGCCTTCCCACCACCAAGCCCAGCCCACTCTCACCCCAGTTTGAGCCCTGAGGAAGCCCTGGGGTCTGCCAAGTCCATCTGACCCTAGCACCTCAGCCTCTCTGAAGGGCAAGAGAACAGCAAGGTCTCACTCTCCTAGGTCAGAGCCCAGGCACTGAGCCTCCTCAGCCTTCCACTTGAGAAAAGTGGGTGGGAAAAATCAGGCCAGATTTGGATTCGGGAGTTGTGGGCAAGAACAGAGGCCCCCGCCCCGTGGTCTGCCACAGTCATCAAGCAGCCCAGCTCTGACCTTGGCCTCTGCCAGGCCTGACTAGCACAGCGCCGTGTGGCAGGGCAGCAGGCAGAACAAATGCAGATGCCCCCAGACATGAGCTGGGACCAGTGCCTAGGGATCCCCCTTCTCTGCCCACCCAGGCTCCTCCATTAACCACGAGTTCTTTTCTAATAGAAAACGTTTGGCTTTTGCTTGCTGGAGACTGGGTAGGGCCAGTGTAGCACACATTTTCCTGTCTGCACCAGGGTTATGGTATAGGGGCTTAGAGGCTTGGGTTTGCTGTGGGATCCCATCCTTTCAACCTCTCTGTTCAGGAAGTCCTTATCTAGCTGCATATCTTCATCATATTGGTATATCCTTTTCTGTGTTTACAGAGATGTCTCTTATATCTAAATCTGTCCAACTGAGAAGTACCTTATCAAAGTAGCAAATGAGACAGCAGTCTTATGCTTCCAGAAACACCCACAAGCACGTCCCATGTGAGCTGCTGCCATGAACTGTCAAGTGCGTGTTGTCTTGTGTATTTCAGTTATTGTCCCCTGGCTTCCTTACTGCGGTGTAACCATGAAGGAGTGAAACATCCTAGAAAACCGTCTAGCACTTCCTTGCCAGTCCTTAGTGATCAGGAACCATAGTTGACAGTTCCGATCAGTAGCTTAAGAAAAAAACCGTGTCTGTCTCTTCCAGAATGGTTAGAAGCAAGGGAGTTTGCCCCATTCTGTTCTTAGAGTCATAGTTGGCCTTTCTAGCATTTTTGTATCCATTTCCTTATGCTGCAAAAGCAAGTCCCACAACCAACCCCACTCTGCTGTCAACCCTCCAGGCTTCACTTCTGACTCCTCCCCAGGAAGGGAAGGGGGGTTGGAGGAGGGGGCAAGTCCTTCGGGACTCCTCTTCCCCCAAGGACAAAAGGCTCCTGCCCCCACAGTGGCCTTGCACTCCTGGCACCCCCAAAGACACCTATCCATGTGAGCACGGCATCTGGCCAGTTTGTCATGGAGACGTCCATTTTAGTTGATCATGTTTTTGTGTTATACCTAGTCAGTCCAGTGAAATGTGGCTCCTAGGACCAATGTCAGGAGCTGGCTGGCCTCCCCGTCAGCTTAGTACCACCTGGTCCTGGGAAGAGGAGTGTGGGACCCATCAGGCCCGCCTTTCACCCATGACAGTTTATTCAGGGGCTGACTGGGCACTGGTGGTCAAGAACATAGCATTGGAAGGGTTGTTTTCTTTCTGGCCCAAGCTGCAGGCAGTGCCTGAGGCTCCTTAGGGTTTTCTCTCTCTCCCCCTTTCTTCCACATTCCCTCCTCTTCCCCAAATAAAGTCATCACGAGTGAGTCACCTTTAAGCAGGCCGCCTTGGCGGTTTGTCACCCTTGGCGGGCAGGGGCCCTGCAGCTCCCATGCCACCCCTGTTCCTGGAGTCAGGTTGACAGGAGGTTGGAGGCAAAGCATAAGCCCTGGAATTCTCACCAGCTGTGTCCAGCCCAGTTTGGGGTGCGACCTTGATTGTGTGTGTACTTGAACACAACAAAGATTGGGGGGCATCTTTTAGGGACTATGAAGAATACAGGAATTGACCGACGGCTTTCAGATCCCCATGGGTCTAGGTCACAGAGAGTCATGCTTGTCTTCCCTACCTTCATTCTAGTTGTTAGTTACTACCTCCTTTCTTGACAGAATTCTGTATGTCCTCGAGCTCCTCCCACAATGCCCAGCCCAACCCTGCCCTACCCGTCTGCCCATTGGTGGGCTCGTCCTTACCAGTGGAATTGCCGGCTTTGACACTTCAGTGAACTGGGGAACTAGGCCACAACCAGGCTCTAGTTTAGCTCCCTTCTGCTGGCATAGGAAACACCATGTCCCGGTCCATCAGTGCCAAACTAGCTAAGGACCCCAGTCCCTCAGCTCCCTGGAAAAGTGAAAGTCGTGGCCTGGGGCTGCTGGCCATAGCCAGCACCTGGCTTTTACTGAGACCCTGTGCCGGTGTAGGCAACAGTCTGTTCAGTGGCATCATTCCAGGCTAGAGGCCAAGAACAGTGGCAGACCTGCAACAGTCCCAAGTTGTTGCCTGCTCTGCCCAACTTGTCATTCCTGTGACAGTCATCATAAAAGGGTAGTAGCCAGAAACGAACTTCCATATTTGGTGGGAGTTTCCTTAGCTGACAGGCCCTCTGGATTTTAAGTAACTCTTAATAAGCAGCTCAAGCCCAGGAGAGAGCAAAGGTTACGAACTCGCCAGGAGCCAACTGGATCTTGTGGAGCATTCCCACCCGGCTCTCTGGACTGCCATGGTCAGGAGAGGTCACAGGTACTGGTTCTTAGAGACCTTTGTGTATCCGTTCCTAGCTGGTGTCGTTGCCCTGAATTGCTTCCTGATGCGAGCTTCACGCACGGAGTCTAGGACCAATGGCCCAGACTTTGGGAAGCAAACTGTCTAGAGCCTTACGAGTGTTTGCCTAACCAGTCCCTCAAGTGCCAGCCTCTGGCATGTGGGCAAGCACAGCAGCATCACCAGGCCTGCGGTTGAGCCCTTGCCCCCATGCCCCTGCTATGTTGGATTCCCCAGTCTTCCTCTGCTTTCTGCAAGGGTCCATCTTTGCTCTTTGTCAGTTAGCCCGTCCACACTGGAGGGGTTTGTTGAGTCTCCATTTTTGTGTCTTTCTCTTTTAGATCAGTCTTTAGAAAAGGCCTAACTGTTACAAATCACTAGGATACTGCCTCCCCCAGGGTCTGAAGTTACATATTAAAGAGGAAAAAAGGTAACATTGAAACCTGCTCTCAACAATTCAGAAGGAAAACCTAGAAAATATTTGGCAAAAAGATTACATGTTAATGTCTCTGAACGTATAAGAGCAAGCTTTTGCAAAAATTCTGATCTAAAAATACCTGGAGCCAGGCCTGACGTGTGGTGAGTGCTGCAGGCGAAGGGGATTCGGTCTGAAGCTGCTGCATCTGAGACTCAGGGCCACCCTGTCATTGGAGAGCCTGTATCTCCTTGGGTAGCAGTCCCTGAGGACTTAGCTGCCACCTCTGTCCTCTGGGACGGCCTGGAGGTTAGGGGCCTACCTGGTCTCAAAGCAGCAGGAGCCCAGCTCTTGGTGTGGGAAGCTAAATGGTCACCAGGGACTTGCGAAGGCCTGCATCATTCTCACTCCCCAGCACCACCTGTTTGTTGCTCCATTCTCATCTCCGCAGAGCCTACCCAGAGCTCTGATTTGTCAGGAGAAAAATGAGTTCTAACTAGGAAGGAGAGGGTAATGTCTTCCCCTTGGCCTCTGCCTGTGGCACAGCCTGTCCCCTGAGGACATTCCCCTGCCCTGCTCTCCTTGGGCTGTAAGGGCCTGGTGAAATGGCACTCCATTCTGAACTCGGAGGTGAGGACAGAGGCCTGAACGTTCGCTGTGGTGTGTGCCCCACTCGCCCCTCACCCTTTAGACCCCCTGGGGCAGAGAGAGGGTGGGTGTGAGGATAGGTGCTGCCACCCCCAGTAGAGCTGAACATTTGAGAAACTTGCAAATTGTCTTTGCTCCTCTAGCTCCCCCTTCTATCTCACCTTTTCTCAGGTCCTGCTCAGCAGCAAGAGAAAATAAGATGAAAAGGCCAAGAGGTTTGCCTCCTGCCCACTGGTAGTTTCTCTCCCCACAGTGTTTGTGTATCAAGTGACAAAGCTGTTTTTCCTGGTGACCCTGATTATATCCAGTATCTTATAGACTATATGCATAGGCCTGCTTGGTCTCCTCTGTCCTGGGCTTTTGTTTTGCTTTTTAGTTTTGCTTTTAGTTTTTCTGTCCCTTTTATTTAATGCACCAACTAGACACACAAAGCAGTTGAATTTTTATATATATATCTGTATATTGCACAATTATAAACTCATTTTGCTTGTGGCTCCACACACAAAAAAAGACCTGTTAAAATTATACCTGTTGCTTAATTACAATATTTCTGATAACCGTAGCATAGGACAAGGGAAAATAAAAACAAAAACAAACAAAAAAAACGACAAATCTGTCTGCTGGTCACTTCTTCTGTCCAAGCAGATTCGTGGTCTTTCCTCGCTTCTTTCAAGGGCTTCCCTGTGCCAAGCTAAGGAGGCTCCAGGCAGCACCCGGGTTTTGCACTGTTTCTCCAGTGCTTGTGAGAGAGGTCTCAGGATGCTGGTGCAGAACAGTTCACCTCAACGGGTACGTGCGCGAGCGCTCCCTTGCCCTGGCAAAGTCTGGAATGTAGTTGGCACCTCCTGGTCCCCTTCCACCCCTGGGTGGGGCAGCTGGAGTCCATGGGGGTGGCCCGATTCCCCACCCCTTCCAGTGACCCGGTCAGAGTGATCATGTGTGGAGAGTCAGCTCAGCATGCCTCTCCACCAGTAGGGCTCCCGCTTTGCTGTGTCCAGGGGCTGGAGGGAAGATGGGAAGTCTGTCATGTTTGTGTGAGCTGCACCAGGTAGAATGCCAGGAACCCCAGAACCACATACGAGAGTCCAGTCCCCTCTAGGAGGTAGCGAAGACTCCAGAAATGTCCCTTTCTCTTCTCCCATATCCTGTGAGTAATTGCATTTGCTTTTGTAATTCTTAATGAGCAATATCTGCTAGAGTTTAGCTGTAACAATTCTTTTTGATCGTTTTTTTAAAGTAAGTAAAAACACCAAAAAAAAAAAAAAAAACAATCCAGAAACTTGTTCTTCCAAAGCAGAGAGCATTATAATCACCAGGGCCAAAAGCTTCCCCTTCCTATATCAATACTTCTTCTGAGGCCTGAATCCAAAAGAGAAACACTCATAGGCCCTTTGGGTGGCTGGGCTACCTTCAGGCCCCTCGGAGGACCTGATCTGGGGCCCACTCCAGCCTGCATTCAGTATTAGCAGTGGGTCATGATGTCCTTGCCCATTCAGCCTGGGATGGGGCCAAGGAGGAGAGGAGGCCATTGCCATTGATGCTTGGCCACTAACAGGTGGGTGTCCGCATGTGTCCACCTGCATGCTTTCTAGCGGAAATGTGAAATCAGCACCTGAGTTAGCCTCACCCAGTGACCTCTCGCCCCACTGGGCTGGAGCAAGGCCCGCCCAGTTCAGTGTTTCTGGGGAGCTGGACAGTGGAGTTCAAAAGGCTTGCAGAACTTGAAGCCTGCTCCTTCCTTTGCTACCAAGGCCTCCTTTTCCGTTTGATTTGTCACTGCTTCAATCAATAACAGCCGCTCCAGAGTCAGTAGTTGATGAATATATGACCAAATATCACCAGGACTGTTACTCAATGTGTGCCGAGCCCTTTCCTCGTGCTGGGCTCCTGTGTACCCGGACACTGTAATGTGTGCTGTGTTAGCTCTCCCCACCTCTCCCCTCTCACCCTCCCCTCGTTTTTCTGGGGGTTTTCTGTTTGGGTTTGGTTTGGTTTTTATTTCCCCTTTTGTGTTCCAAACATGAGGTTCTCTCTACTGGTCCTCTTAACTGTGGTGTTGAGGCTTATATTTGTGTAATTGGTGGGTGAAAGGAACTTTGCTAAGTAAATCTCTTCTGTGTTTGAACTGAAGTTTGTATTGTAACCATGTTTAAAGTAATTGTTCCAGAGACAAATGCTTCTAGACACCTTTTCTTTACAAACAAAAGATTTTGGAGGGAGGGGATGGTGACTGAGATGAGAGGGGCTGTCCTATTTCCCCAGGAGGGGAGACCCAAAGAGATGACCCCTTCTCAGATCAGCCAGAAGCTACCCAAGAAGTTAAACCTACACCAACAGACCGAATAGCTGATGCGTTGCCATTTTCAAAGTCAGAGCAAAACCAGGTCTTGTTCCACCCAGTGGATTCTTTTACCTTTCCCCCCTGAGATTATTAGCATTGTTATTTTTAAGGACAGACGAGGTTTATGTTCCTGCGAGGAGAGCCAGGAGGGGTTTGAGCAGGGCCAACCTGGGGTGGGCCTGAACTAAGTGGCTCAAATGAAAGACAGGCATCTCCCTGGAGATCTCCGCTGTAGCCACAGGTGTATGTTGACAGGGCAGATTGGCCACTCTTCACCTGATGCAGCTCTTTCTAGACAGGCCAGGCAGTGGGCATTACCGTTTAGGGCACCTTCATCATATCCCACCTCTTTCCTCAGTGCACAACACTAATGTGACCTCTTAATTCCCACCATCCCAGGTGATGAGATGATGGTGGGGTGGGAGGGTGCACTCTCTTTGCTGTAATCCAATTCCCAGAAAAATTTGGATGTGAGAAACCCCCTTCCCTTTCCATGGCAAAACCAAATCATTCTCAGAAGAGCCGTTAGTTACCCCCACCAGACATTGTTTTGGGTTCACAGAACAGGGACAGGTATGTGCTCCCTTAGCGCCTGGCAGCCCTTCCTCCGAAAGGCGAGGACAGTGCTGATTGTAGTGACCATTTGCACAAGGTGTTTTGTAGCGGGAAGAACCAGGCAGGGTGGCTGCCCCCTCCCGAGTTGCAGTGACACAGGCCAGCCACCCTGTGCTGAGGGAAGCCCTGCTGAGGGTGGGAGAAGGGGAGCTGCCCAGATCAGACTTGGCTGGAGATGTCTTGAAAAGCCCTCTATTGCATTCACCTTCAGTTTTTGTGTTTTGGGACAATTACTTTAGGAAATAAGTAGGTCGTTTTAAAAACAAAAAAAAAATTGATTGCTTTTTTGTAGTGTTCAAAAAAAGGTTCTTTGTGTATAGCCAAATGACTGAAAGCACTGATATATTTAAAAACAAAAGGCAATTTATTAAGGAAATTTGTACCATTTCAGTAAACCTGTCTGAATGTACCTGTATACGTTTCAAAAACACCCCCCACTGAATCCCTGTAACCTATTTATTATATAAAGAGTTTGCCTTATAAATTTACATAAAAATGTCCGTTTGTGTCTTTTGTTGTAAAATCAAGTGATTTTTTCATAAGGTTCTTTTACTATTTGAAAAGATGGGCAGCACGCAGTTTTATTTTATTTTTGTAAGTTTTTTAATACGTGTGAAAGCAAAGACTACTCAGCATGCCTTTCTAAGTGACGCGTTTGCACCTTTTGTTGGGAAGTACTGTATCCTTTGCTGTTAGCATTCTCGATAAATCTCTCTGTGAAAGTGATTCAAGGTCTGGGCTTTCATTATCTGACAGCTCACAGGACAGCATGGTGGTGTGTTTCCTGATTCGGTCTGGCTGTCCCTGAACACAGAGGAGAACCAGCTGCTTTCAGGACTGCCGGGGAGGAAAGGGCACCCTCTCTATACACTGCATCCTCTTAGGTGCCCCAAGGCCACACTTTCCAAGCGCACTGCTTCTGCATGTGTGAGGGAACTCAGTGGCAGGCTAGGAAGGGCTTGGCACAGTCACTGTGCCCTAGGTCCAGAGGCAGGTGGGCTTCAGGCCTTTAGGACAACAGCACAACTTCCCCATTCCTGAGGGCCATGGTAGGGGGATCTTTACCATCTGGATGTACCAAGGCAATTTTGCAAAGACACCCCCACCCCGCAGCTCTGGTTCCTTCTGTGCAGAGCAGCGGAGCACCTGCAACCCTCCCATGGCCTCTGCTGAACTGGCTCCCTGCCCAGAGGGGGAACTGTCATCACTCAGGTTTGCTGGTGCCATACCCTGACTGTTCTTGGCTGCCACATAAGACTGTGGGCCCTCAGGAGCTACCTGCCCTGCCACAGCCATCCTCACTAGGCTGTTTCTGGGTTGGAGAGGATAACTTCATATGCAAATGTGGACATAATATTAGCCAATGCACTTGAAAGTCCTGGACTTGAACGTTAAAACAAAGAGTTCAAATTCAACTTGTGTGTACTGAGCATCTGTTGTGTGCCAGGCATGCGTGGGGTGCTGCAGTCTAGCAGTGAGCAAGTAGGACCAAGTGCCCGTTTTCTTAGTGCTTAATGTGTGCGTGCATGATGATTTCCCATACTCGGGGCGGGGGGGCTGCGGGGTGGCTGGCCTCGCCTTTGGGAGTGGTTGTGGCTTCTGAGGCCCATATTTGGGCAGACCCTGTGAATGGAAACAGCCGGAAGTCCCTGGGAGGACAGCCTGGGGGGAAGCCCTGTGGGGTCAGGACCGAGAGGACAAGGGGGATGGTGAGGGAAGGAGACCTGTTGCCTTGCAAATATGCATCCAGCTGGAGCAACGAAAGAGGAAGGCACCTGGTGCTGCTTGTGGGCTCTTCCCCCATCTAGTGAGGGAGGCTCAAGAAAGGTGCACCAGATGCCAGGACATCAAGGGCAGCAGGCAGCTCTGCCAGAGAGGTCTAGGAAGCTTTTACCCTAGCTTCCACCTGGGGAGCTGTTTGAGCTCAACCTTGTTGCATGAGGGCCAGGAAACTGCAAGTGCAAACTCATGGATGCGGAAGCCCTGGCCCATTTGGCCACCGGCACCGAACACTTACTGTAGGGCCCGTTCTCAGAACCCTAAGGAGTTCTGGACGGCTTAAGGCTGCTGATGTGTGCAGAGAACTAGAAGTGGGAGGGCAGGGGTCACATCGTGACAGTGGTGAAGACCTGGGACCCATCAGAGGGCTCCGGAATGCACAGGAAGGTCTTAAGAAAGAAAGCTACATGGCTTGACTTCTGCCTGAGGAGAAGCACCCCGGTGGACATGAGGCAGGGAAGCAGTTAGGAAGTCCGTGCATTCGTCCAGGTAAGAGGTAGTAAGTAGTGAGGGCAGTGGGCTGGTGCGGGGGAAATGGACTGCAGAGGTATTGAGGGAGACAACAGGAAAACAGTGGTTGCTGATGGGAGGTAGAAGAATGGAGGCTGCAGAGCGTTGTGGGAATGGGCATGAGACCAATGTGGCCAAGATGTCAAACAGTCTGGGAACTGAGCTTGGTGCCTGTCCACTGCTTCAGAAAAGGGTATGAGAAGCCATGCTCTCAACAGGGGAGTGCACAAACTGAGCCAGAAACGTGGAGGGAGGAGGGACAGCAGGAGCCGAAATCCTGTTTTTAAGAGAAAAGCAGTTCCTGTGCTAGTGGGAAGGATCTAGCAAAGAAGGAAAAGGGGAAGGTATTGCTAAGAGGTAACAATTGCTGGTGCAGGTTCCTGACGGAGTGAAAAAGATGGGATCCAGAGCACAGGAAGTGGGAGAAAATGCTCTGATCTGGAGCAAGCTGCTGTACAAGTTTCTAGACAGTTCTTGGACCCAGCCACAAGGGGCCAGCTGACGGGAGTCAGCCAGAGGGACTTTGTGTATGTAACCCACATCTGACCCTGTCCTGCCGGCATCTCTAACGACTCTCCACTGCCTCCCAAATAAAGCCAAAATGTCTAAAGGGGACCTCCTTGTGACTGTCACAAGGCCCGACTTCAGCCCTTACTGGAACACCCCATGCCTTCGCCACGGCCTGTGTCCTCAGTGCTGGGAACCACTCTCCTCCATCCCTCAGAGCCCCAGTTGGACGGCCCCTCCTCCTAGAAGCCCGCCCTGCCTGCTTGGCCCTGCGCAATGGCACTGCCTTCGCGGTAAGGGACTGCGTGCGGCGCCCCCGTGTGGCCGACGGCCGCGGCCGGCAAGATGGTGGAGCCCGGGACCCCGCCCCTTCCGCCCAGGCAGGCGTCACACGAGGCTGGCTTAAAGGGGAAGTGAGTCAGTGTCCGCGGACCCGGCCGGCCGAGGCCCCAAGAGGCCCCGGCCCGGTGGCGCCGTCGGCGGCCATGGCTGGGGGCCCCGGCCCAGGGGACCCCGCGGCCCCCGGCGCCCAACACTTCTTGTACGAGGTGCCACCCTGGGTCATGTGCCGCTTCTACAAAGTGATGGACGCCCTGGAGCCCAGTGACTGGTGCCAGTTCGGTAGGTGGCGGCGGGCCTGGCTCGGGAGGGGTGGAGAGCTCATTGGCCCGGGTGCTCAGGCCTGACACTCCCTGCCCCACAGCCGCCCTTATTGTGCGAGACCAGACCGAGCTGCGGCTGTGCGAACGCTCTCGGCAGCGCACTGCCAGCGTCCTATGGCCCTGGATCAACAGAAATGCCCGTGTAGCCGACCTCGTGCACATCCTCACGCACCTGCAGCTGCTTCGCGCGAGGGACATCATCATGGCCTGTGAGCACACAGTCCTGGGACCTGGGACACCCCCCACCAGCTGGAGGCTTCCCACAAGGCTCCTCGCCCTGCAGGAGCCTAAACATCCTTTCCTTCCTTAACGTCCCAGGGCACCCTCCCGTCCCCCTCCCACCCTCCAGCACGAGCAAACCGGGAACCAGCAGCATCTCTGAGCTCACTGAAGACAAGGCCCGCAGCCCCCGGAAGTTGCAGTCATCAGCTTCCACTCTCCTCTCTCCAGGTAAGAGGGCTCTGGTGTTGGGCTTGTTGGACCTGAGGAAAAGGCCACTTTGACCATGGCCATGGCTATAGACCCTGCCACTGGTCTCTGCCTAACTCTTACTGGTGTCTTTATGAAGCTCTTCCAGGCTCCCAGACCCATTCTGGGCCTGAGTGCAGCCCTGTCCCAAGCCCTGCTGCCCTACAGCCACCACCACCGTCTCTAGCCTTTTCTCCTACCAAGGTAGGTGGGTCCTGCCCCTGGGAAAGGCTCCAGACAGAAAAAACAAACAAGCAAACAAACAAATAAAAACCCAAGAAACCCAGGGAGCCCCAGCCCACTCAGCAAGGCCAGCTGGGAGGCAGCTGGGGTTGGGGGAGCTTGTGGCCAGGGCTGAGGGGAGGAGACAGGACCTCACCTAATTGGGATGTCTTTCCACAGCAGAGCCCAGAGAATCCAGTGTCCCTCCTGCAAGGGACCCACCCCTCTCCATTCTGTTGGCCCCTCCACGAGATTTCCCAGGGCACCCGCAACTTCTCAGAGGAGCTGAAGATCGGGGAGGGCGGCTTTGGATGTGTGTACCGGGCTGTACTAAGGAACACGGTGTATGCTGTGAAGAAGCTGAAGGAGGTGAGTGTAGTAGCGTCCTGGTGAGGGCCCTGGAAGGCCGACAGCAGACCCTCACCTTTCTGGTCTTCCCCACCCCCCGCTTCCCACACAGCTCCTTCAGCTCTCTGATTCCCCAGCTCAAGGTCCCCAGTCCCTTGGTTGTTCTGGGCCCAGGACAGATGGTACAGGGAGTGGCCATCAAGCCTTGGCTGTAAAAGCCTCATGCTGCCCCACCCCGTTTTCCCTGGGGACTACAGGAGGCAGACCTGGAGTGGACCACTGTGAAGCAGAGCTTCCTGACTGAAGTGGAACAGCTGTCACGGTGAGCCTTGGGCGTCCCTCCAGGACCACACACCGTGGGACCTAGCTCCCTCAGACCAAAGCCTGGCAGGCCCAGCCTAGCTGAGGGGCCAACAGGGACTGCTCCCCCTTGCGACACCAAGATGGAAAGTGTGGTGGCGGCTGGGGGCCAGAGCACTCAGGCCCTGCTTTTCCAAGCAGGTTTCGTCACCCAAATATCGTGGACTTTGCTGGCTACTGTGCTCAGAGTGGTTACTACTGCCTTGTCTACGGTTTCCTGCCCAACGGCTCCCTAGAAGACCACCTCCACTTCCAGGTAGTCTTACCTGGCCTGCCACGCTTCCCCAGACCTGCTGTGCCTCGGTGGAGCGGGGCAGGAGCCTGGCTCTAAGCCTCCGTGAGTGGGTCCCACTGGCAGGCAGGGCCTGGGCTCAGGGTTTGGCCCAAGGTGGGCCGCCATTTTCCGTGGCTATTCCTGCATGCCCAGGAGCCTGGGCCATGGTGCCTCTAAAAAGGGGGTTTTTGACACACAGTAACCTGACTCAGGTTTCTCCCCTTTCCAAAAGGAGTAGCTGAAGGGTTTTATCAGTATTGCTCTTGAGAAAAGGAGGCAGTGGGCAGCAGGCTGCACTATCTGGACCCACAATTGGGCCCTGGCTAGTGAGGCACCCAAAGACACAAGGGTGAACTGCACGCTGTGTTGGGGGAAGTGGGAGAAAGCCTCCAATGATGTCCTGATCACCCTGGGGCATATGAGTGAACTTCAGGAACTGAAGACCGTCAAATTCTATGATGACTCCAGAAAGCACATTCCTAGCCGTTTTCCTAGCATGCTTTATAAAGCAGTGGGAATGGCTTAGTCTTGATTCTCTTGTGAAGTAGCTCATAGAGATTTTGCTCCTCATTTTCCAGAAGGGGAGACCAAGGCCTAGGGAGTGAAGTACTTGTCCACATCCTGTGTTGACAGGTGGAGGGAGGGCTGGAGTTAAGGAGCAGTGGCCCCCAGTCTCCCCTGTGCCCCTTTGCTCCCTCTGCCGCTCTAGACCCAGGCCTGTTCCCCTCTCTCCTGGCCTCAACGCCTGGATATCCTTTTGGGCACAGCCCGGGCAATTCAGTTTTTACATCAGGACAGCCCCAGCCTCATCCATGGAGACGTCAAGAGGTAAGGGCAGGACACAGCCTGGCCTCTGGGTCCCCTGAGAGCCACAGAAGTAGAGTCCATGGCAAGGCAATGATGCTCCCAAACCTTCTACAGCAGGGAGTCTGGTCCAGAGGAAGCCCACCCCGAGTGCCCCTCCTGAGAATAGGCCTGCCCTCTCTTACTCAGGGCGGAGGTTGGGGGACAGGGTGCAGCCCTGAGATGTGCGATATGAGAGCTACCTCCCTCTCATCTCCCGTGCCAGGTACTAAGTGACTGCAGCCCAGGGTCACTTAGTACCTGGCATTGGAGAGATGTGGAAGCATAGGCCCAGAACAGTCCCCACTGATGTGTAGGGGCTGAACTGTGCAAGGGTGCTCTGGGTTTACAGCCTTGCAGGTAGCTGGACTGTTCTAACAGAACCAACCACTTTCTGTAGGCAGGGCGCTGTTCAGTGGCTCCAAGTCCATTTACATCAGGGCAAGGCAGGTGTTGAGGGGTCAGAGCGAGCTGGGGCCAGGACTGGGCTGACATCCTTCCTTTCTTCCCTAAGTTCCAACGTCCTTCTGGATGATAGACTGATGCCCAAACTAGGAGACTTTGGCCTGGCCCGTCTCAGCCGTTTTGCAGGGGCCAACCCTGGTCAGAGCAGCACCGTGGCCCGGACTCGGACCGTGCGCGGCACCCTGGCCTACCTGCCCGAGGAGTACATCAAGACCGGGAGGCTCGCTGTGGACACGGATACCTTCAGCTTTGGCGTGGTGAGCCACGGCCCCCCTCTGCTGGCTGGAGGGGTGGGGAGCTGTGGCCAGGCCAAGGTAGGAGAGCCTGGAGAATTCCATATGGAGCCAGAGGCCAACCTGGCAGGAAGCTAATGGAGGGAGCTTCAGCTACCGGCCCCTCCCTCCCTGGTATAGGCCCCTTCTGTGGCCCTGCACCTCTTTTTACATACGTCATTTGGCATTCTTTTGCTTCAAGTTGGTGCTCCAAACTGCCAAACTTCAGTCCCATGACACCTGGCTCTGTCCCTGCAGGGAGGTGATCCTGATCTGCCTATCCAAGGGCCAGGCCACTTCATCTACCCCACAGGCCACCTCTGCTTGCTGCCATCCCCACCGAGGCCTGGGATGGCACCATCCCAGAAGCCACTGCTATGTTCTCCATCTCGCTCTCTCTCCAGGTAATTCTGGAGACCCTGGCTGGCCAGAGGGCTGTGAGGACACATGGTGACAAGACCAAGTATCTGGTGAGCCTCCCGAGGTGGGGCAGAGAGGGAAGGAGACGGGAAGGGAGGGAGGCAGACAGGGTGGGGGGCAGGGAGGCGCTGCTCCTAGAAACCAACAGGTGCAGCCCTGGAGGGTGGAATGATCTAGAGCACAACACCCCACAGAAGCTAACCTTTGTTGCTGCTGACTCATCTTTGAAAGTAGGCAGGGCCCCAAACAGCTTCCTTTACCTTGCCAAGGAGAAACCTGTCTTTTTTCTGTAGATGCGGTGGGCCTTCCCAGACCCCACCTGGGCTGGGAGGAGGGGAGGGGGTGTCCCAGCAGGGTAGCCCCAGTGCTCTGGGACTAGAAGCTACAGTGAAAAACAGAACATGGGAGCCTGCGAGAGGCTCTGGCAGAGGATTGGGCGGACTCTGCGAAGCCGCCTTCTGATCCCCACCAGGCACACTGCAGATGACCACTCCTTGTTGTGGAGGCAGGTCTGAGATGCCTCCATCCCTTAATCCATGATTCCTGTCTGCCTCACCAGGGACTGAGACAGGGCCAGGAGGAAGGAGACCTGGGGTCTAGTCCCAGCTTGACAGTGGTCTTGGAGCAAATCCCTGCACTCTGCTGGGCCCCTTCCCCATGTGGAAACAGACTTAATGCCCGTGTAGCGCTTAGACACTTCCCGGGCCCAGAACGTGCTCGGTCAACCTTTGTTCTTCCCACTTTACCAACTGGTATACCTCCAGCTGCTTCTGCTCCTGGCTTGGGGCTGCTTCTCTCTACTACTGGGTCTGGTCCAGGAGCCAGGGAGCCAGAGAGGAGCCCTCCTTCACCTTCCGCACCCATCGGCATAGCCAACGGGGGCTGCTCTCCATCACTGCCCTGGAATCCTCAGGGGGTCCTTCTTTGGTCTTCTCTGCATCCTTCCTGTTTGTTCTCTTTGCCGTGGCCAAACTAATCTTACAGAAATGTTAAGAGATCGCGGAAGCCTCTTTGCTTTCCCACTGTGCTTGGGGGTGAAGGCCTGATGCCTGAACGTAGCCTCAGTTCCCCGGGCCTGGCCACCACCAGCCTTCTGTCTGTCCTCTAGGCTCCCTGCTGCCTGTCCTGGGGCCCGAAAAGCCGCCCGCAACTCAGGTGCTTTCTCCTGGTCCTTCTCACCTCAGAGCTCAAGGTGGCCCCCACCCCTGTTTCTGTCCTGGGGTGTCTCTCCACGGTACACTCCCCTTGTTGGTTCTGCTGTCTCGTTAATTCATGCTTTCAGATCCCAGCTCAGGTGCCACTTGCTCATGAGCCACTACCAGTTCCCCATTGCTTTCATAGGCTTGTTGGTCTATGAAAGTGGGCCCAGGCCGTTATATTTGTTGCTGTGTGCCTAGGGCCTGGGGCAGTGCTGGGCACACAGTGGGTACTTGATCAACCCAAAGAAAGACCACAGGAGTCATCGACCAAGGGCCTGGGAGATTCAGCTCTAAAGGCACAGCCTCCCCAGTGGCCGTGCTCACAGTTATCTGTCCCACAGAAAGACCTGGTTGAAGAGGAAGCTGAGGAGGCTGGGGTATCCCTGAAGAGCAGCCAGACCACACTCCAAGAGGGTCTAGCTGCAGATGCCTGGGCTGCCCCAGTTGCCACCCAGATCTACAAAAAGCACCTGGACCCTAGGCCTGGGCCGTGCCCACCCGAGCTAGGCCTGGCCCTGGGCCAGCTGGCTTGCTGCTGCCTGCACCGCCGGGCTAAGAGGAGACCCCCCATGACCCAGGTACCAGGGGCGGGCAGGGAAAGAAAGCACTTGAGACACCTACTGCCCATGGGGGCAGTGGTCTGCTGGAAACCCCGCATTTCTGCTGCTGCCCTGTAGTGAGCCAAACACCGCACCTGCCAGACCTTTTCTTGGAGACGGTCTCGATACATTTCTCAGTTAACCTTTGGTTCTTCCTGGGGTGGCGGGACCCCCACTGAACCCCACTCGGTATATAGCGTCAAAGGGCTTTTATTGCGCCCCCTTCTGGATGTACCGCACTACTGCATCTGCCTTTTTCTGTCCCCTCCCTAGGCCCCACCCCTTTCCCTCTGACAGTTCAGAATAAAGAAGCCCCATTTGAGGGCAGCAGGGCACTGCAATTCACTTTCTAGAAGACAGAGAAGCCATTGTCAGTCCTTAGCTTTGGTGGCTGTGTCTCAGTGCCCCTTGTGGGAGGAACAAAGGGGCAAGGAGCAGAACTTTCCCAGCTGCAGGGTGTACCAGCTTAATGGTCCTCACGGGTTCCAGAGCAGCTGTCTGGGGCATCCCAAGCCCCAAGGTCATGACTGGTCTTCATGGCCAACCAAGCCCGGCCTGCCCAGGGGCAGAGGACAGCCCCATGCAGTCCACTCAACCCTGAGAGCCCCTCTTTCTCTTTGCAGGTATACGAGAGGCTGGAGAAGCTTCAGGCAGCAGTGGCAGGACCATCCCTGGAGCTAGAGGTCGCCGGCCGCAGCCCCCGTTGCCCACAAGAGAACTCGTACATGTCCACCCCCAGCAATGCCAGCCCCTGTCAGCCCCTGGCAGTACCCTCAGGAGTCCCAGCCCAGGCTCCAGAGCGGCTCCAGAGCGGCTCCAACCAACCTGTAGAGAGTGACGAGAGCGTGTCTGATCTGTCTGCTGCCCTGCATCCCTGGCACCTGACTGCGAGCTGCCCTGAAGGCCCAGCCCTGCCAGAGAGCCCCGGGCAAGCGGCTGCCACGTGGGCCCCAGCGCCCCTTGAGCAGGCCAGCTGTACTCAAGAGGGTCCCGCCCAAGAATTGACATGGGGGAGCAGCCCAGAGCCCCGGTCCACAGCTGTGGAAGGTAGCTGGGGACAGATGCCCCGGATAGGGACCTCCTTTGGCAGTAGTCCCCACATTTCTCATCCCCAGTCTTCTGGGATGAGAGAACTGGGGCCTGCTGTTAAGCTCACTGTCCCTAGCAAGCTCCAGGTCTCTGCCTTGGGGCAGGTGGCTGGCCTTAGAAAGGGGTACAGAGGATAGCTTGGTTCTATCTCATCTCCCTAGGCCGTGCTTCCCGGGTGGTAGGAAAAAGTCGGGAGCTCGCTTCCTAAAACCTGGGAACAAGGAGGGCTCTATTCAGGACCTGGCTCCTGGCCTACCTGGGAGCCAGGGTCGTGGCACAGCCCCTTCTAGGCCTTGCCCTCAGGGCACTGAGGACTTTTATCCTCAAGGGGTAGGAAACTAGGTGGGGGGCAGGGCGGGGGTGGGGGGGCCAGAAGACTCCTGAGACCGGAAGTGTCAGTGAGGAGTTCCTCGAGATAATGGCCCTTGAAGCTAAAGGGGCGCTCTTTCTACCCCAGGATCATTCCTGGGCAGCTCTGCGTCATCACGGCCACTGCAGATTGTCATCAACCCAGCCCGACAGAAGATGGTGCAGAAGCTGGCCTTATACGAGGACGGGGTCCTAGACAGCCTGCAGCTGCTATCGTCAAGCTCCCTCCCAGGTACCCCACGTGCACCCTGCAGCTGGGCGGTCAGCCTCCAGGGCCGTTCCAGCACACCTCTTTGTGCCAGCCCTAAACAGCAAAGTGGTTTTTTGTTTTTGTTTTTGTTTTCAAGATTTGATTTATCCCTGTCTGGAGTGGGTCAGTGGATCACGTGCCAGCCTGCAAACCAAAAGGTCGCCAGTTCGATTCCCTGTCAAGGCACATGCCTGGGTTGTGGGCTAGTTCCCTGGTTTGGGGCATGCAAGAGGCAACCGATCAGTGTATCTCCCGCAGGTCGATGTTTCCCTCTCTCCCTTACCCTCTCTCTAAAAAAAATAAATAAATAAAATCTTTTTGGAAACATCAGTGTGTGAGAGATACACTGATTGCCTCTGCATGCCCCCAGCCAGGGGCCTGGCCCTCAACCCAGGCCTGTGCCCTGACCAAGAATCAAACCAGCGACGTTTTGGTTCGCAGGCTGGTGCTCGATCCACTGAGCCACACCAGCCAGAGTGAGTGTTTTCCTCTGATCATGCACTGATGAGGCCCCTGCTCCCCAAGGGTGTGGTACAGCACAAAGGCAGGCCACCCTCCCCTCTAGGAATGGCTGGAAGCCCAGGCTGCCCCCATGCCTCCCTTGGAAAGTTGTTTATTCTGGGCAAAGCCTATATCCCGGCGCTCTTGCTTTCTTCTGAAATAGCACCTTCCTTTAGTCTTGGGATACCAGTGCCCCACCATGCTTCCAGCAAGCATTTTCCATTCCAGATGCTATTTGAAGAAGCTCTGCTTAGGAATAGGAACCCCTCATTCCAGAGAGCACCCCGGTAGCTGAGGTGGAACCATGGCACAGCCCTTGGACCAGCCCTCCAGCAGCCAAGGGACCCCCACTCCGATTTACTAACTGGCATTTCCTCCTCCTCCTGTAGGCTTGGGCCTGGAACACCAACACAGGCAGGGCCCGGAAGAGAGTGATGAATTTCAGAGCTGATCTGTTCACCTGGGCAGATCCCCCAAACCTGGAAGTCAAAGTTCTCATGGTTGGAAGTTCTCATAGCACGTGAACCCTCAGGAGCCCGTGGGCAGTAGGGGCGGGGGCCCCAGCCTCACAGGGGAGAGCAGATGGTAGCCCCTGTGCTGTAGGGGAAGGGGCGCAGGCCGGGTTCAGAGCCACCCGGGGCAGCTGCTGGAAGCTGTCGGGAGGGCAGGACACCTCAAAGGCCTGCCTTCAGTCCAGCACTTTGGGGAGAGGAAAGCCAATGTCATCAGAGGAGTGTGTGGGGGAGAAATGTATGTCTGAAGGCTGCTGGCAGCACATGCCAGACAGGAGAGGTGAGTGGGACCATTGGTACAATGGGATATAGCTGGGAGCCGGCTCCCTGAGAGTTGGGCGAGGCGTTTGCAGCCCAGGCCTACAACAGCAGCCCTTAACCCTTCTTTTTGTATTTTGCTGAAGCCCTAGGGGAAAGCGGCCACTCTGCAGAATAGAGCAGATAAGGCCTGGGGTCCTCCCAGCCACTTGTAATAGGGAAAAGTGGGTTGTGACCCTCCTGCGGTTCAGTCCGCTAGCTAGAAGTAAGAGTTCTGAGATACCCCAGAGAGTTCCAGCAGTGTCCCCGTCAGGCCAGTGTCCGCAGGCTTCCTTGAGCAGCTGGGAGCGAGCCTCACGTGCCTGCCTGCCAGCCAGGCCGCCCCTGGGCGCTGTGGACAGGCGCCAAACCAAGTCGGGCTCCGGAGGCCACAGGCTCAGCATCAGACCCAGGCACTGATTGTGACAGAAGGGCCACTTCCCAAGGTTTGCCTAGGCCTGAGTCCTGTGTTACCCAGACAGTGAGAAGCCCCAAGGCAAGAAGTTGGGAGCAAGGCAGAAAAGAAGGAAAAGGAAACTGAGACTCGTGAGGTTTCAGGAACAAGTGAGATTTCATGTAACAGTGCCTTCGAAAGTTAGCCCAGGGCTGTAGCATAGGCTTACAATGATTTTGTGTCCACAATCATGAATCACACTACATGCCTCACAAAGCTAGGCATTGGTGAAGTCCAAGTTGTACTGGAGTAATAAAAGCTATGTTTCAATCTCTGATTGTACTTGTGGAGTTTGTTCCACTGGAAACCTCAAACTTTTCCAATGCTTTTCAACCCAGGGTTCTTGACTGTCCAACCCAAAGCACCAGACCCCGCCCCCGCCCCCGCCCCGCAAATCCTCCGGAGGCTTTTGTTACCTCTCCCTCGGTCCACAACACTACGACCCAACAGTCAACAGTACTTTCATGCGCGGTTAAATTTCTCCCAAATATTTTATGGGTTCTGATGCTATTATAAATGATATCTTTATGTCATCTTCTAATTGGTCGTTGATAGTATATAGGAATACAATTGAGTTTTGTCTGTTGGCTTTCTATTCTGTGACCTTGCTTAAATTCACTTACTAGCTTTAGCAGTTTTTTTGGTAAATACATTGGGATAGTCTATGTATACAATCACTTTATCTGCAAATAAAGATAATTTTACCACTTCTTTTCCAATCCGCCTTTTAGTTCTTTCTCTTGCCTCATAGCACTAGCCAGGGCCTCTAGTCAAATGTTAAATCAAAGTAGTAAAAGTAGACATCCTTGCCTTGTTCTCAATTTTACGTGCGAAGTATTATCTTTCACCGTAAGTACCATTGTCATACATGTATTTTGTCAGTGTGATGAACTAAATCAATTGATTTTCAAATATTAAGCACACTTTGAATTCCCTAGATTAAAAAAAAAAGCACTTGCTGATATTCCCTTTGCCAATAACTGAAGAACTTTTGCATCTGTGTTCATGAAAGATACTGATCTGCAGTTTTCTGGTAATATCTTTATCCAGTTTGGGTATCGGGGCCTCATAAAATAAATTGGAAAGTGTTCCCCTGTCTTATTTTCTTAAAGGGCTTGTGCGTGCTTTGTGTTCACTTCTTGAAATGTTTGAAGGATTCAGCAGTGAAGCCATCTGTACCTGGAGTTTTCTTTGTGGAAAGTTTTTTAGTCCAAATTCAATTTCTTCAATTAGCTATTAGCCCATTCAGACATTCTGTTTCTTCATGTGTCAGTTTTAGTAATTTGTGTCTTTCAAGGAATTTGCCTATTTCATCTAAATTGGCATAAAGCTAGTGATCCCCCCTCCGGATCCCTTTACACCTGGAGTCACTATAGTGACATCCTCCCTTTCATTGCTGATACTGGTAATCTATGTCTTTCCTTTTTTTCTTCATTATCCTAGGTAGCTTATCAATTTTATCAAACATTTCAAAGTACCAAATTTTGTTTTCATTGATTTTTTTCTCCATTGTTTGTCTATTTTCTATTTTGTTAATTTCCACTCTTCCTCCTTTATTTTACTTATTTTGGAATAATAAAAATTTATTTCAAGTTTAATCGCCCACACTTTTTTCCAGCTTCTTAAAATGTAGCCTTAAAATCATTGGTTTTAAACTTCTTTTTCTAACAAACATTTATTTAAAGCTAAAAATTCTCTTTCATAACAGCTTTGGTTGAATTCTACTTATTTGGATATGTTCTATTGTCATCGTTCAGTTAATAATGTTTTCTAATTTCCCCTGTGATTTTTTTTTTTTTGAAGATTTTCTTTATTTTTAGAGAGAGAGGCAGGAAGGGAGAAAGAGAAAGAGAGAAACATCGATTGGTTGCCTCTTGCACACCCCAAGCAGGGACCAGGCCCACAGCCCAGGCATGTGCCCTGACCAGGAATCAAATCGACCTTTTGGTTTGTGGGACCACGTCCAACCCACTGAGCCACACCAGCCAGGGCATGTGATTACTTCTTTAACCAATAACCTACTTAGAAGTACATTTCCCAAATATTTGGGGATTTTGCAGATACATTTTTGTTACGTGTTTTTAATTCCATTGTGGTCAGAGAATTTACTCTGTATAATTTCATTCCTTTTGAAATGATTGAGACTTGTTTTATGGTTTAGTTTAGTGAATGTTCCATGTATATTTTAACAATATATTCTGCAGTTGGGTGGAGTGTTCCTGTAAATGTCAGTTAGGTCGAGGCGGTGGGTAGCTGTGTTCCGGTCTTCAGCGCCCCGGCTGATTTTCTGTCCACTGGTTCTCCCTGGCGGACTGAGAGAAAACGATCAGTATCCGGCTGTTGTGGTAGATGTGTCTTTCTCATTTCAGTTCTGTTGGACTTGGCTGCATCTATTTTACATTGGGTGCATACACACTTAGGATTGTCACATGTTCTTGATAAATTGACCCGTTTGCTATCATGATATGCCCCTCTTTATCTCTGGTAATATGTCTTCTTTTGACATCTGCTTTGTCTGACATGACTATAGCTACTCCAACTTCTTTATGCTTAATTTGCTTTGCATTATAACTTTTTCTGTTCTTTTAACCTATCTGTGTCTTTATATTTAAAGCACATTTATAGGCAACATATGGTTTTGGCTTACTTTTGTAACCAGTCTGGTAATATCTACCTTTTAATTGGTTGGTTTAATCCATTTACATTTAATGGTTGAGCTTAAGTCTACCATAATTCTACTTGTTTTCTATTTGCCCCATCTGTTCTTTGTTCCTGTTTTCCCCCTTTATTTTTGACTTCTCTTGGATGTTTCTGGGGTTCTATTTTTTTTCTTCACTATTGGCTTGTTAGTTCTAATAACTAGTTCGGCTCAGTAGCCCCCTTCCTGTACCATGATCGGGAAAATGCCTTATAGGTACAGAGGTAGAAATCTGGGCTGCTTGTAGGAGTCGCTGCATTTGGTTTCCTTCTGATCACAGTCCTGCAGTGCCTGTTGTCCAATATCTAAAAATAGTTATTTCAAATATTTTGCCTGGTTTTCCAGTTTACAACCAGAGGGCTATTCTGGCATTGGCTATTCTATCATAGCCACAATCAAAAGTTTCCCCTCTTTTCTGAGTAATTGTTCACTCTTAAGGTCACCCTAATTTTCCTCCTGCATGATCAATTTCTCCCTTGCTCCTGGATGTATTTTCATCAAACATGTCCCCTAGGAGCTTTCATTCTTGAAGAAGTCCTTAGATCAGACACCTCTGTCCAATCACAACCCCAATTCTCTGTTGTTCTTTATAGCCAAACTTCTCAAAATAATTGTCTATTTTCCCATTTCTCATTCCTTCTTCAACCCTTTCTAATCTGGTTCCTACCTCACCACCCCGCCAAAATGCTGTCAAAGACACCCACGATCATCTTGCCAAAACCAGTGACCCTCTTCTCTGTGCTGTGGGCCTCTTGGCGCCCACATCCTTTCTGACTGCCCTCCCCTGGCAACACTGCCCTCTGTCTCCTCTACTCAGTCTCTACAAGGTGGGAAGGAGTCCTACCTTGGGGCTCCCGCGGGGCTCTCTTTGCTACCTCTGCTTGCTCCTATGGTGAACTCATTCATTCACATGGCTCTAAAGACCATCTATCTATTGATCACCACCAAATAACCTCTCTAACGAGAACTCGGAGCTTTTCACCCATACTTCCAAATGCCTACCACAGACATGTCTCCTTTGATGTCTCACAGGTGCCAGAGCTTAAATGACAAAACTGGACTTGGGATCCCCAGTTGCCACAAGCTTCTTGTCTCAGTGTGTGGCAGTTCCACCACCTTCCACCCAGCTGCCCAAGCCAGACCTCAGAAGTTAGGCTTTTTTAATAGAATCTGTTAGGCAGAAAAGTACACAAACTGTCCATGTGTAGCTCAAGAACTTTATATGTGTGTGCAGCCGTGTGACAGCGACCGCTTAAACCAGAATATAAGCGGTCTGCCTCAATTAGCTATTGCTACGTACCAAACTACCCCAAAACTTAGGGGCTAAAACAATTATAACATTATTTTGCCCATGAATCTGCTATCTGGGCAGGACTCAGCTGGGACAGCTCATCCGTTCCACTCAGTGTCAGCTGCAGTGGCCTGAAGGCTGGTTTCTGGAACCATCCAGAGACTCCCGCACATGCCTGGTGATTGATGCGGGCTGTCAGCTGAGGGCCCTGCCGGCCAGGAGATCTATGCATACCTCTTGCTCGTGGCCGTGTGGCTTCTTCCCAGCACAGGCTTGGCTTTGAAGAGTGTCTTACGAGAGAGCCTGGTAGAGGCTGGGTCAGCTTTGGTGACCTGGTTGCTGCTGTATTCGCATTAGAAACAAGTCACTAAGGCCGGCCCATACTCAAGGGGAAAGGAATTCAGTCCAGCTTTTGATGGGAGGAGTGCCAAAGAATTTGTGCATGTGTTTAAAACCAGAACAAGGGCATTTCTGTCACCCCGGAGAGGTCCCGCATGCAAGAGAACCATGCACGCATAGATTAGTTTTGCATGTTCTTGAACTTCACAAGGTCAAGAAGATAACCTCCTTTGACTTCTACATACTTCCTTGCTTTACTTTTCATAGTTAGGTCTGTGCTACATCTCAAATTGATTTTTGTTCCCGGTGGTAGGCAGGCATCTAGATGTCCTATTTTCCCATGTGGACGTCCAATCTATCCCACACCAGTTAGTAAAAAGGCTGTCTTTCCCCACTGAATCAATGTGGGGACTTTGTCCTCAACCTACTGGCTGTATTTGCACAGGCCTGTTTCTAGCCTGTGTTGTGTTACATCAGTCTGTCTGTCCTGCACCAATACCACACTAGCTTAACTACCATAGCCTTAGAGTAAATCTTAATTCCTGTGAGCAGTAATTCCTCCAGGTTGTTGTTCTTCAAGACTGCCTCAGTTATTCTAGGCCCTTTGCATTTCCATCTAAATTGTAGAGCAATTGAAACTCATTCACTGCTGGCGGCAATGTGAAATGGTTCAGCCACTTTGGCAAATGGTTTGGCAATGTCTTAAAATTTCATCTATTTACACTATTATACAACTCTTCCACTCCTAGGGTTTACCCAGGGGAAACGAATTCATACTTCCACACAAAGACTTGTACACAAATGTTCACAACAGCTCTATTCACAATAGCCAGACTGCAAACAACCCAAATGGCCATCAGGTGACTGGATAAACGAATTGTGTGTTCATACAATGAAAGACTACTTAGCAATTAAAAAAAAAAGAAACTATTGGCCTTAGGA